TGTTGTCATGTTGTCGTGTCCTGTTGTCATGTTGTCATGTTGTCGTGTCCTGTTGTCATGTTGTCATGTTGTCGTGTCCTGTTGTCATGTTGTTGTTGTCATGTTGTCGTGTCCTGTTGTCATGTTGTCGTGTCCTGTTGTCATGTTGTCATGTTGTTGTGTCATGTTGTCATGTTGTAGCTGTGGAACAGAACCCTCACCTCTGTACCTCCTCCTCTTTCAGACCCAAGAACTCGAAGCAGCCAGAGCGTGAGGAGAAGAGGGTTCTGGGTCTGGTTCTGCTGAGGGGGGAGAACCTGGTCTCCATGACGGTGGAAGGCCCACCCCCCAAAGATGTGAGTGTTGGTCTTTTAATCTGACCTTTGACCTTTCCCTGGAAGCTAACGCTGGTTTGAAGCTGTCTCTGACCTTTGACCTCTCTCCAGACGGGGATAGCTCGGGTCCCCTTGGCGGGCGTGGCTGGAGGTCCAGGTGTGGGCCGAGCAGCAGGTCGAGGTGTTCCTGCAGGTCCTCCTATGCCTCAGGCTCCTGCAGGACTAGCAGGGCCAGTCCGAGGAGTAGGTGGTCCTTCACAGCAGGTAACTGTGTGTGTGTGTGTGTGTGTGTGTGTGTGTGTGTGTGTGTGTGTGTGTGTGTGTGTTTCTGACCAGTACTTTGTGTGTCAGGTAATGACCCCACAGGGCAGAGGGACTGTTGCTGCTGCTGCAGCAGGAGCTAGCATTGCTGGGGCACCAACCCAGTATCCCCCAGGACGAGGAGCTCCGCCCCCGATGGCTCGTGCCGCTCCACCTCCAGGTGAGCTGTGTCCAGGTCCAGGCTTGGTTCTGGTCCAGACATCACCGTAAAGATTCAGAACCTGACTTCTGACCACTTTAACCAGGTTACCTGGACCTTTTAGGTCCATCTCACCTGTTTCAGAGGTGTTAATAAAACATCTCCAGCCTGGTCCAGCCTGGTCCAGCCTGGTCTTTACCTTCATACTCAGCTCTGCTCACTTCTAGTTTCCTTCTCTGCTCCGTCTGAGACTTCTCCCTCAGACGAGCATTTCTTCAGGAGAGTTTATGTCCGGACCAATCAGAGAACAGGACATCGATGTTCTGCTCAGTGTCTGCTAGTTATGCTAGTTATGTTAGCATACAGCAGTGGAGGAAGTGAATGAAGCCAGTCTGTGTTGATGAGACTTCAAATTAAAATAAATAATCTGACAAAGCAGCAGCTCTCATTTACAGTCGTCTGGTTCAGCTCGGTGTATTTCTCCTCTCAGTAGGGTTGTTTACAGCACATGATTTCTGTTAGCTTCTTAGCTTAGCCTCCTTCACAGAGACATACGTCACAGCCAACTGATCCAATCATTTTAAACTTCAGCAGAGGCCACGCCTCCTGCAGGAAACACTTCTCTATGGCAGAGTCCAGACCCTGGTCTGAAGCAAAGTGAAGGACAGGGTCTGGTTTGAACCAGGCTAACCTCTCACATTTTACACAGAACATGTATTCATTTTACTACAGTACGTGTCCTCGGCTCGCAGACGCAAGCTACGTTAGCTTAGCTGATTTGGCTAGTCGGTGCTACAGTAACCATGACTTATATTTCTCTCAGTATTACAATATTTGTTCTTATTATCATGTCTTTTGATACTAGTAAGTTATAAAAGCATGTAGTAAATGTTAGTGAGCTAACAAAATGAGCCTAGCTTTAAGTAGAACCCAGGCTGTTGTGAGGTGACGTGTTAACACCAGTACAGGATGAAGACATGTTCATTATCTTAAGTCTGCCAATGTATCTGATGCATGTAGGTGTACACAGGTGCAGCGAGTGTGTAGCTAAGCTAACCTCAGCTAAGCTAATCTAACCAGCTAGCTTCAGCTAGCCTCACAGCTAGCCTCAGCTAACCTAGCCTCACAGCTAGCCTCAGCTAACCTAGCCTCACAGCTAACCTCAGCTAACCTAGCCTCACAGCTGGCCTCAGCTAACTTAGCCTCACAGCTAGCCTCAGCTAACCTAGCCTCACAGCTGGCCTCAGCTAACCTAGCCTCACAGCTAGCCTCAGCTAACCTAGCCTCACAGCTAACCTCAGCTAACCTAGCCTCACAGCTAGCCTCAGCTAACCTAGCCTCACAGCTAACCTCAGCAGAGACACAGTAAATCATGAACACAGCTCCAGCACAGTTTGCTGGAAAAGCACTGATCGGAGCAGCTTGTTGTTGTTGTTTATAGCAGCTGATCTTGGTGTTGATGTTGATCCTAACCACTCAGACATTCAGCTCTGACCTCGTCTGTCTGACATCCTTTAGTTTTTCCTGGTTTTGGATGTAGTGAAAGCTGCACTTTGACCCGTCTGCAGTCTAACAACATGAACAAACCTCTGAGAGCTTTTCACACAAACTCAACTGTAAATCCTCTGACAGCTGCTTTCACATGACATGAGATGACATGACATGAGATGACATGAGATGAGTTGACATGAGATGAGATGAGATGACATGACATGAGATGACATGAGTTGAGATGACATGACATGAGATGACATGACATGAGATGAGATGACATGAGATGACATGACATGAGTTGAGATGTCATGACATGAGATGACATGAGATGAGTTGACATGAGATGACATGACATGAGTTGAGATGAGATGACATGAGATGAGTTGACATGAGATGACATGAGTTGAGATGACATGAGATGAGTTGACATGAGATGACATGAGATGACATGACATGAGATGAGATGAGTTGA